AGGCTGCGGTGGCTGGTAGCGGCCACTGCACTCCAGTCTGGGTGACAGAGTGAGACTCCAGCTCAAAAAAAAAAAAAAGAGATGTCCTGCCTTTTGCCATGAGGGCTTTCTGGTTCTCACAAAGGGCCCCAATTCCCAGTTAGCTGGCACCCCTGCTGGTCATGAGCATCCCACCTGCCCATCAAAGTGCATGACGCTCAGCCCTGTGTACTGGGGCCAAGCTAGGCAGGCCACCAGCTAGGAAAGGAGAAAGGACAACACTCCCCTCTGCCTTCAAACTTAGTCCTCTTGAATAACTTCCAGAGGTTCTGCTGTGCCTCATCTTTTCTGGATTCCATAAAAGCAAGGAGAAAGTTGTTTCTTTTCTTTTCTTTTCTTTCTTTTTGAGTTGGAGACTCACTCTGTCGCCCAGGCTGGAGTGCAGTGGCACGTTCATGGTCACCGTGGCCTCAACCTGCTGGTCTCAGATGATCCTTTCGCCTCAGCCTTCCCAGTAGCTGGAACTAAAGGTGTGCACCACCATGCCTGGCTAATTTTTTGATTTATTGTAGAGACAAGGTCTTGCCACGTTACCCAGGCAGGTCTCGAACCCGTGGGCAATCCTCTTGCCTCTGCCTCCCAAAGGGCTAGAATAACAGGCGTGAACCCCTGCCCCTGGCAAAAACTGTTTCTAACACCTGGAATATAGTTTATTTTCTTCTGGACATAAGGCAGGTTTCAAGCCTTTGGTTAAAATACATTAAATGGAAGCAAACTGTCAGCATTAGAGCACCCCTGCTGGGTCCCTAACCCACATGTGTCCTGTGGACTCATGCTTGGCATCTCCTAATGCCTCAACCTGTTGGGTGTCACTGACAGAGGGTCTCTGGACACCCACCAGAAAATGCCTCTTGTGATCACCAATAGGTTCATCAGACCCTTGCAGAGTATATAAATAACCCTACCACTTTATTGTCCTGTAATACACAGATGAATAAAAGCTAAGTAATAGTTGTGAGGGAGAGTATGCCTGAGTCCTGATTTAGTGGTCCTCTGGGTTTCTGGACCTCTTCCAGCGTTCTTCTGGCCAAAGCCTTCTATTATGGGAGAAGCCGCACAGCCTCACATGGAGGGGAAGAAACCTGGCAAAAAACTGTTTAGACTAAAAAGCCAGTTTCAGAAAGTAAAGCAAGAGGCAGGAAAACAAAACCCATGAAAACTCAAAATACAGCCGACCAATCTTACTGTTCCTCTGGCCAGGATATGAATGTCACTTATTAAGAAAAACTGAAGTACCGATTTGATTTTGCTCTGTAGTCTACACCTTTACTAGGCCTTGAGGTAGCCAAGTGTAGACTAAACAGAAAGCGTAGACTAAACAAGCAACTTGGCGAAGGCACAGCCTCTGGGTGAGAAGTGAGGGGGAAAGAGTGGGCGGAGCCTGGAGGAACTTCTAAGGGAGGCTTCCCTGAACAGGGTCAGCTATGCAGGCAGGGGACCATACTCCTCTGCCCGTCTGGGCCAAGCCCTGGTTTCCCGGTGCCAGTGGGGAGACAAGGCTGACCCTGGGGAGGGTCCCTGGATAAAGCCTGGAGGGACATGGAGGTAGGTGACTTGGAAGCTGCATCCCAGCTGGGGTCCTCTTGGACCTTCGGGAGGGTATTTGGAGGACATTCAAAATGGAGGCCAGGCCTGGGAGAGTGAGGAGGAGAGAGGGGTCAGCACAGTCAGGGAGGGGGAGGTGGGGTTGGCCAGCGATTGAGAAGACGTGAGTGCAGCTGGCCCTGCCTGTGGACGGGAAAAGGCCGAACCCCAACCTCCCACAGACCATGTGCCAACTGGGGGAAGGCTGTGTCAACCTTGCCGGAAGGCCAGGGTATGGCTTGGGCAGACGCAGTGCCCTGGGGAGGCGCTGGCCAGGCCGAGGCCTGGTGCTGATCTGGCCTCTTCTTCTCCCTCTGCAGAAAGTGACTGTGTCTGACAGCATGAAGCCAGGGCTGATCTTGCCGTGGGAGACTGTGGGGAACAACGAACGGGGTGGGGTGGGGGCAAAGCAAGACACATCCCATCAAGGAGGGAGCACAGCCTCTGTCCTCCAGCCTGTAGGGCGGCGAGAGGCTGGCCCACTCCCTGTCAGCCTCCTGCCCTGGACTTACTTTTCACTTCATTTCCCATGAGGGGAACATGATGTCATTTTTTTCTGTGACTCATCAAAGCAGCAAACACAGCTACTGCCACTCACACAACTGCTTTCCTCAGGGTCAGCGGGCTGATGGGCCCTAACCCACCAAGGCAGGCCTGGCCTTGCCTGCCATTTCCACATGGCAATATGCCGGTTCCTGGGCTCCAACGGCCTCGGGAATGAGCAGAGTGACAGTGGGCTCAGGTCCTGGCACCTCTCTGTGTGACTGAGGCCAACATGGAACCTCTTGTGCCTCAGTTTCCTCATTTCTTAGAAAAGGTACAGGCCAACTTCCCAAGGCCGTGGTGAGGGTCCCATGAGGTGGTGATACTAGCACAGTGCCTCCTATTCAGCATCTACTGTGGGACAGCCACTGTCCCAGGAGCCAACGGGGTGATGGCAAAACAGACCCAGTCCTGCTTACAGAGGGCGGCATCCCGCAGGGGCAGAAGGCGGTAAAAAGCCGCTGCCATATAACTGTGGCCAGCCGGGGGAGGAGTCGCAAGTATGGGTTCTGAAGTTACACCGCTCAGCAGTACATCAGCTGTGTCACTTTCAGCAGGCTCACACTGTACCCTGTGCCGTGGCTGCTGGGCTGCAAGAAGCCTCAAAGAGCCAGGCCACCGCAGGGCCACAAAGTACCAGCAGAGATGGAGCCCCAGGGAAGAGGTGGCAGATAAATCAGGAGGGGCTTTTGTATGTCATAACTACACTCTGATTCAACACGTTCTTCACTGTGGCAACTGCAAATGTATCCATTACAGTCGTCCCTTGGTATCCACGGGAGATGCTTTCAGTACTCCTCACAGATACTAAAATCCACAGATGTTCAAATCCTTCTATAAGACACTACAAATATCTGCATATGACCTTTGCACAGAATACTCTACGTCAGTGGTCTCCAACCTTTTTGGACCATTTTCACAGAAGACAATTTTTTCATGAACTGGTGGGAGGAAGGATAGTTTGGGGATGATTCAAGTGCATTACATGTAGATTAATGTAGATTAATGTAGATTAGTGTAGATTAATGGTGGCATTAGATTCTCATAAGGAGCACACAACCTAGATCCCTTGCATGCACGGTTCACATGAGAATCTAATGCCGCCCCTGATCTGACAGAAGGAATGTGAGAGATGGGGGGTGGCTGTAAATACAGATGAAGCTTCGCTTGCGCGCTCACTGCTCACCTCCTGTTGTGCGGCCCTGTTCCTAACAGGCCATGGGCCGGTCCATGGCCTGTTCTAAGTTATCCCTAGATTCGAATTATTCCTATTGAATTCGATGGAAATGCAATGTAAAGAGTTGTTACACTGTGTTTTCTTAGCCATATTATTTTATTATTGTACTGTTATTTTTTACTGACTTTTTTCCTTGACTATTTTCCATCTGTGCTTGGTTGAATCCTTGGATGCAGAACTTTAGATAAGGAAAGCTGACTGTACACTGTTTCCATCTTTGTGTTTTAAAAACTGTTCAAGAGACAAGATGCCACCCAGTCAGTAAAATAAAATTGCCCAAGGCATGTGCACAAACTGCTTTCTACAATTTTTCTAATGGATTCTGTGTGTAGGCAGTAAAACCTGGGGAGCAGATCCTGTAATTAACCAAGCCTCGGTTCTGAATTTCTACATGTTTTTTAGGATGTTCTCTTGGTTGACTATAAAAACCTCCTATCGATATTTCAGTCACTGTACTAAACCACGGCTATGAATGCAGCCTTAATGAACACCCCCCTCCATGGCAAGTGGAGTTAACAAGCTTCCAGTGAAAATATAGAGGTTTTTATATACTTGAAGGAGACATTTGTGATGACCCTAGGGCTTTTTAAATTAAAAGTCTCAGTAGTAAATTTTGATTGCTAAACCTAAAGGCAGATCACTAAATAACTTGGACAGTCTCTTCAGATTTTTCAAATGAGTGAAACCCCCATTTTCATCTGCAATCGATAGCGCAGACTTACCGAGGTCAATAAGGATAGCATGCTGCTGGGAGGTGAGCTGTTTCAAGAGTTCTTTGTATGGCACATCCTTGGGCTGCTGTTTACTGGGAAACTGGTGTTTCAGCTGGAATTGCTCAGCTAGAAATTTCCAGATTTCGCCACGGTGGTGACGAGGCACACCTTTAAAATGGGGAGTAGAAGATACAGAGAGACTTTATGCACTGAACACAATGTAGTTAATAAAAATGAATTTCATTTCATTTCATTGATCCAAATTCATGTTCTGTTATGAATTAACAGCGTAGAAACGGAAGGGAAACAGCCAACACTTCTTCCTTCCTTCCTTCCTTCCTTCCTTTCTTCCTTCCTCCCTCCCTCCCTCCCCC